TTTTGTTTTGTTTTTTTTTTTTAATCACAGTGGCCTTGTAGTATAGTTTCAAGTTGGGGTTTGTGATTCCCCTGTCATGTCTCTGTTGCCTAGAATTGCTTTTGCTATTCTAGGTCTCTTCTTGTTCCAAATGAATTTTTGGATTGTTTTCTCTAGTTCTATTAAATATATTGTTGGGATTTCATTCAGGATTGCATTGAATCTATATAGCAGTTTTGGAAGTATGGCCATTTCCACTATATTTGTTCTTCCTACCCAGGAACAAGGGATGTCTTTTCATTTTCTTATATCTTCTTCGATCTCTTTCTTCAGAGTGCTGTAGTTTTCAGTGTAGAGGTCTTTTGCTTCCTTTGTTAGATTGATTCCTAGATATTTCATTTTTTTGGATGCTATTGTGAAAGGAATTGTTTCCCTAATTTCTCTTTCAGTGGGTCTATTATTTATGTACAAGAAGGCTATTGATTTTTGAGTATTGACCTTGTATCCAGCTACTCTACTGAATCTGTCAGTTAAGTCTACAAATCTTTTGGTGGAGTTTTTCTCATCTTCTATGTAGAGTATCATATCTTCAGCAAGTAATGACAGTTTAAGGGGGCCGGGGATTTACCTCAGTGGCACCACACTTGCCTCACAAGTGCAAGGTCCTGAGTTCAATCCCCGGTACCAAAACAAAAAGATAGGTTGCAGGAATAATGACAGTTTAACTTCTTCCTTTCCTGTCTTTATTCCTTTTATTTGTTTGTCTTGTCTAATTGCTGTGGCTAATGTTTCCAGAACTATATTGAACAGGAGTGGTGACAGTGGACCAGAATTTCTAATGTAGTAGGTTGTAGGGTTGGGAAATCTGATGCTGAGGTTCAATTCTGGACATAGAACTTTTGAGGAGGCAACATATTCATATTGTATAGGTGTCTACCTGTAGAAGACAGGGCAGATCTATTCCTCCGTGTGCGTGTGGTGGTTGCGCTCTGTCTTCTGCTGTTGTGGTTGCACCAGGTCACCTCACTGCCCTGAGAAGCCTGGGGAATGGCGCCCTCCAGAACTGTGCCATTCTTCCCTGGTCCTGCTGGGTAGTGCAAGGGAGTCAGTGACATTCTAAGCACTGAGGTCCTACTGTCTGATTCCATCATTTAGATTAGTGTCATCACAGAAGAAAATAATATCTATTTGAAAGAGGTTTTTTTTTTTTTTTTTTTTTTTTTGTGGTACTGGGGATCGAACTCAGGACCTTGTGCTTCCAAGGCAGGCGGCGCAACCACTGAGCTAAATCCCCAGCCAACTTGAAAGGGTTTTGATGATTAAATGAGATCATGTAGGTAAAACACCTAGTGTGTGCCTGGCATATAGTGAGAGCTTGGGTACTCACTGTTCTAGTTACTTTCCATCAGAAATGGAACATTTCCAGGAGGTCGCAGATCTCAGTTGCCCTTTCCACCTCTCTCAGTGGTATCATTTTGCTCCGGCACTACATTTGTTTCTCCTTTTCTCTTCCCATAAGAGGGCTCTGTGGAAACCCTCTTGTTTCACTGGTTTCGTTTATTTCACAATGGAATCCAGTGTTCAGATGTGTCTGAAACTATTTGTCATGTTACAGAAAAGTCCTTGCTGGCTAAGCTTCACCTTTTCTGGGGTGGGGACTAGGACATACTTGTTAGAATAAGCTTATGTTTGGCACATATACTATATTGTGGAAAAACCTTTTCTAATTAATCCTTGAGCTTGCCAGGAAACCACATGTGCTCCTGTTCCTAAGCATAATGAGCTTGTGTATGGAAACCATGACAACTCTTAACTTCTTCAGCAACTTCACATCCAACATGTTTCATGACTATGATTCACTACTTTAGTCTACATTAAGGCTTGGACAAACAAATGAATTGTAGGGAAAATTTTTCAGATTCATTGAAATAATTTCAAGGTTTTTGTTCATTTGTCTGTTTTTATCTTTAGGTAGGTACCTGGAGGCAGCAGTATGGAGGTTAGGTGGGAGGGAGGACTTTTTCTCCCCATAATTTCCTGGAATTTCAAACCCATGATTTAGAAATCTAGAACAAAGGAGGGTAGTCAACTGGCCTTATGTCAAAATAACCTGATGTTCTTTACTGCCCAGTAATGTCTTTTCCTGATCCACTTCTAAGAACAGTCCTCCAACATGTAACAGCTCTAACAGTCCATGCTTCTTTGTCTCAAGAGGTCTTCATAGCTACCAAATATTTGGAACCCTTGTGGTGCTTCTGTCTCTCTAGGTTTTGGGAATTTGCAGGGTTTAACTTGTGGAACATCCATGTAGCTCTTGTAGGCTCTTTGCCTTCGCCTCTGACAACTTAGGGTGATATTGGTAAATATTTCTTTTTTTGGGGGGTACCGGAGATTGAACTCAGGACCCTGTGCTTGCAAGGCAGGTGGTGGCACCACTGAGCTAAATCCCCGGTCCTATTGTTAATATTTCTAGTAGGGCTTTACTACACAGTAATCTGTAAGACATTGAGTTTTGCTGCGTTACATTAATGACAATCTCAGTCATAGAAATTAACTTTATAATGTTAATGTGAATTCCTGAGAAGGCAGTTGGTTCTGACTTTGAGCAGTGTGTTTGATTCCATATGCCTGTGAATTTCAGGGGGACGAGAGGGTTGGACACAGCTCTCATAGCCTTCTTATACACAGCCAGAGCTGCTTTTCCAATTCCACTGCTGCTTTCAGAAAGGACTGCTTGCCTTGGGCCTTTAGGGATCCCTGGGTTCTGATTCTTTGACCACTCCCTACCTCCAGCAATGAGACAGAGCCAAGGGCCCCAGTACTCTCAGACAGTCATCTGTTCTGCTATGACCACCCTCAGCCATGTACCTGTTCATTATTTTTTATGTGTATCATGATGTGAAAAATATCTTGACATTCTCCAATGAGGTATGGTAGATGAAGTAACATAAATACTGGACGAAGCTCTTTGAACCCCATCTCACCAGGAAGAATGCCTTTTTGTAAATTTAATGTTGCTCAAGATTCAAATATATGCATATTACCTTCATGTTTTTTTTCCATATTCAAATGCCACACGTACCAGTATATATGTAATCTTTTTCTTTACATTGACTCTTTTCAAACATAATTTTCCTTTGAAAGGAAATTAATACCACTGGTGGGATTGGAAAACCAATACCACATAGCACAAAATGGAAGGCAGTGATACAAATAAATATGCAGTTAATCAGGGCAAAGAGCTTTGTCCATGAGACACATTAAACTGTCTCACTTGCCACCCCTGAGGGAAACACTGTATTAACTTACAGTCTTCTCAGGAGAAAATATAAACTATTCTCCTATTTTCTCAGATGGCTTTAGTTTTGATGTTCTAAGCTCTGAAGGACTTCAGTAGTATTTCAGTAGAAACTTAACTGTTGACATCAGCTCTCTCTGTGGATATAGAGGCCAGGACTCTCTTCTCCTCACCTTTTCCCTGGATATGGGATGTGTCTGCTCCAGTTGGAGGATAATGAAGAAAGATTGTGCTGTGAGTGGACCACACAGCATGAGATCCACGGAGAGAGGCACATTCTGTTATGTAATTGTTGGCTTGTTGGGTAGAATTCTAGAATCTAAATAGGAAACTGGATTCTAGTTTAGCTTTGCCACTCATTAGCTGTGAACTGGGACAAGAGCATTTTCCTGTGTGTTCCCCAGTTTTTTTCTTTTGAAGGTAGGGACAGATGTTATCTATGTGGCTCTCATGTCTTGTTGATGGATCTTTGCCTCATTTTTGGATTGTTCGGAGAATTGCCTGATCCATGGACCCATAACTGCAACCAAAGATTTGTAATCCTAAAGTTTTCATAATGCATTTGGTAGGACCCCTGACCTGAACTCATTTGATAGTCAACCCTGACCTTAAGGGACGTGAGTCCATGTGTAATCTTTATCTCTTCCATTTAATATGTATATTCATATATTTTGCTGCAGAAATGCATTTGGTTGTGGGGTGTTCCTCACACTCTGCTGGGGATGTCAAAATATAGTACATGCCTCCCCTTTATGAAATGTACACAGTTGGGGCCGGGGATTTAGCTCAGTGGTTTTGCCACCTACTGTGCAAGTGCGAGGACCACAGTTCAATCCCTGGTACCGAAAACAAAAGAAAAAAAAATGGCCTCTAAAATGTACACAGTCTTTTTTTTCTTTTTTTTGCGAGACAGGGTCTCACTTTGTAGTGCAGCCTGGCCTTGAACTCATTGTGATCCTCCTGCCAGAGCCTCATGAGTACTAAAAAATGTAAAAATTCTAAATTCTTCAAGTGCATCTATCATCAGAGGTTTTATTGATTGATTGATTGATTGAGTCAGGGTCTCGCTGTGTAACTCTAGCTGGCCTTGAACTTACTGTGTAGCCCAGATGGCCTTTAATTTTCAGTGATCCACCACACCTGGCCATCAGAGGTTTTAGATAAAGGATCTGGGACATGCAATTAACATTTCACTTGAATTAGTATCTGTAATATAGGAGGTATTGCATTGTGTTAGGCTCTGGGGAAGCTGTTGAACAAAAAACAAAAATTCAACTTAAAGGTGCTCACGTTTTTGTGGAAAAGACAAATTGTTATGAAGGAATAGAGTGAGGTCTATACAGAGCTGAGCGAGTCCAGGGTGAACAGTGACTTTCAGGACTCTGGACTTTGGGGAGCAGGAGACCTTCTCAGAAGATAGAGGGCTTCAACTGAGGCATGAGTGGGTCGAATAGGAGCTCAGTTGGGCAGGCTTGAGGATGTGAGGTGCAGGTTGAAATGAAAACTACAACCACACACTGATGAGAGTGAGTGTGCCATGCAAAAGGAAGAGCTGAGAGAAGTCCTCTGAATGCCTTGTTGATAGAACTGCAAGTCATTCCGGTGTGGCCAATGCCCAGGTATGTGAAAGGCTGTGGTAGAATGGACCACAGTGGGAATAAACCTGTCCCCTGGGCAACACCAGTGGAATCTGTGCAGAGGAGGGTGGCACGGGTCAGTCCTCAGTTCTCCTGAGGTGTCTTGGGAGGCCATGGGGCTCAGTGGAGGGTGACTGAGAAGGGTGTGAAACAGACACAGACAATATACCCGTCAAGGTGGGGGCAGATGAGCGTTTGATCTGGGACATTGGTGGCCAGGAACTGAAGGGGAGGTCTTGTTTCTGGACACAGTGGCATTTCATACCCTTCAGCGTATGTGGAGGGTGTTTTTGTTGGTTCCTGTTGATTTGCACATGAACTCTGTGATGTGCACTTTAAAGGTGTTGGAAAATTACAGCATTTGAACCGAGAGGTTTACTCAGACCCATGCAGCATGTATTAGTGGTAAAGACATTGGGTCAGTAAAGATAGGTTAGCCCTAAAGAAGAGAAAACCTTCACTTAGACATATGTCCAAAGAAAACCCTATTGTGTCAATCAGTTACATGTGCCAAAAGTTGTGGCGGAGTAGGTAATGAATAATTTCTCTGATTTCTTTCCTGTGGCTCTTTGAGTCAGCAGCTGCCTTAATGGGAAGGCAAGGCCTGTTCCTTCCTTGACCACACACGTGGTCCCCTTCTCCTGCACGTCTGCATCATTTGTTGTTTGTATCACTCATTGGCACTGGAAGTGCTTTGTATTTTTAGTTGCTTTGCCGAATCCGTGCTGTCCTCTCTGCTGTCTCACGACTTGGCAGTTGCTCGCTGGGGGCTGCCTTTATAGCACTCACAGTTCACTTTTTTGCCTGGCTCTGGAGATTGTCACTTTCAGTCAGAAATGAGGAACAGTTATCAGCCAGTCACTTTCTACCTTAATAGGAGTCGCCTTTCTGCCTGGTCTCACTTCCTACTCTGCCCAGCCTTTCCACCCCCTCTCCTCATCAGCCCCAGGGGATGACAGGAGAGGGTTCTATAATCCTTTTCTTTCCCTCATACCTTCCTTCTGCCTGAAATGCATTCTTTCCTGTTTTTTTTCTCCTGACCTCCATGCTGCCTCACAAATTTATTAGCTCTGTCCCCACAAGCCCTGGGTTCTGGAAAAATTCTTAAGCTTCCATGGCACCTAGTTTACAGATGGTACTTAGTACTATAGTACTTCCTGCCCAAACACAAAAAGAGATGGTGTTTAGTAAACCACACAGGTGTTTCCTTCTCTAAGCCCTCCTAAATTAAGTACCACTCCTGCCACCCGCATCTCATTACCCCATCACAACTGCTAGTTTATACTTTTCTCAACTGCCTTTGCCATTAGCCTGCTCCTTGTCACCAAACACTGTATCTTTTTCATTTCTGTATACCTACGGCCAAGCACAACTTCTGATACACAGAATTTAAGGGATCGGATAGTTATTGAGTCATTGTAAGAACTAAGTAGCAACATAAGTGAAAATTTCTACTTTGGTCTCTGAAGATATAAATAGTGCGATGAAAAAAGTTTTCAGGTTCTTTTTTGACAAGATTTCCATTATCAAAGGAAAAAAGAAAGGGACTTGTGTTGATTTACTAGATTTTTATTTCCTTGAAAAACAAGAGCATGTCTTATACTGGCATCACACTCAACATTTCCTATGGTATTCCACACATAATAGGTACTATGTACTTGTCACTGATGGAAATGATTGCTTTCTTTGACCAGAGGGAGTTCCAACTGGTTGCTGCAGTTTAGTCCCAGATTTATTTTAGTTTGGAGAAGTACAACCAGTCAGATGGAAGCAATCAACCGTTGGCCAATGGTTGAAGAAAGACAGTCATGACTCAGTCCTAGGCAAAATCAGTTAGTCTTTCTTTCTTAAATTTGACTCCTTTTAAAAATATGGTGACATTTAGTAAGATTAAAACATGGGAAATAGAAACACAAGAGAAAACTTCAGCTTTGTACAGTGAAGTTTATTGTTGACTGTCATCAGATCTTCTGTTTTAAACCTCCAACCCTGCTTTACATTCTTTTGCATTTATAGAAAAATCCATGTTTTTATTGCTGTTCGCATTCACGTAACCCTTCCCTTAAATACCACGCAAATTATCCCAAAGAGACAACTCTTTTTTTTTTTTTTCAGTTCTTTATTGGTACATTTTAGGTATACAATTTGTTTACATTTATCATTGGGTGTTTGTACCTGTACATGATATATCTTGGTTCTTATTTTTTTCCCCATT